GTCCCATCTCGTCGCACGCTGCCTCCCACAAACCCTCGTCTCGTGCACCTTTCCTTCCCCTCCCTGTAGCCGCCGCCGCCGCCTACTCGCGTCCGGGGGAAAAAGGTCGTCTCGCCATGGCCTCAGAGACGGAGACGTTCGCCTTCCAGGCGGAGATCAACCAGCTGCTCTCGCTCATCATCAACACCTTCTACTCCAACAAGGAGATCTTCCTCAGGGAGCTCATCTCCAACTCCTCCGATGTGAGTTTCACCCCCCATCCCCGACGGCCCGCTCGTGCTCCTTCCTACCTTTGCGGTTTTAGGGTAGAACTAGATCTGTGCGCTAAACCCTCGTGCCGTCCGATGGGTAGATCGGAGCTTTTACGGCCTTGCGCCGCGTGTTGACTTGATTTGAATCTGGTGGTGGTGGGTTATGTAGGGTTTTGCACTGTTGCTGGCGGCGCTTTTACATCCTCAACTTTGTTGGAGCAGACGTCGGCCATAAATCTAGTTGGATCTGTTTTGTATCTCGTATCTAGTTATTATTATTATCTACATGCTCTGTGACTACTGTCAGGGATCCGCTGTCGTTATGTTTTAGTTGTTGAGAACGTTATTATCCATGCAAAGTTTCCCTATTCTAAAAGTATATGTTAGGGATGATTTGATCAGTAAATGGCATTAGTAAATTGTCTGTATAATTCGTGTTTATAATTTATTAATTCAATACTGTGCCTAGTCTAGAATCTGCTATGGGCGCTGGGTGGTGACAAAACAGTGACATTATATACTTGCTGATACTGTGCACGTTTCCCTCAATTAATTAATTTCCTAGACCTAGTGCTACACCCCTACTGCATGATTAATCAAGTTGTGCCATTAAACTGCAGTAATTTTTGGAGTTCTTTTGCCCTTATGCTTTGATGTGTGAATCAAGTCACTAAACTTATGTTTCTCTGTTTTTTGTTTTCAAACAGGCCTTGGACAAGATCAGGTTCGAGAGCCTGACTGACAAGAGCAAGCTGGATGCCCAGCCCGAGCTCTTCATCCACATTGTTCCCGACAAGGCCAACAACACACTGACCATCATTGACAGCGGCATTGGTATGACCAAGTCGGACCTTGTGAACAACCTTGGTACCATTGCACGGTCTGGCACCAAGGAGTTCATGGAGGCGCTGGCAGCTGGTGCCGATGTGTCCATGATTGGCCAGTTTGGTGTTGGCTTCTACTCGGCCTACCTTGTCGCTGAGAGGGTCGTTGTGACCACCAAGCACAACGATGATGAGCAGTACGTGTGGGAGTCTCAGGCTGGTGGCTCCTTCACCGTCGCACGTGATACCTCTGGGGAGCAGCTTGGCAGGGGTACAAAGATGACCCTCTACCTCAAGGATGATCAGGTATAGCAGAAATTTACTTAGTTCATGTTTTTGCATGTTGTTAATAAGTCTCTATTGTCATACAGCCATGGTTGTTTATTTAATGTTTAGCTTATGTAGCACTTCTGGATGACACTACTAATGCACTTTGGCTATAGTAGTTGTATTAAAATCACATGGCTATTATGTGGATAGTGGGTTCAGTTTTTAAGCTGCTATGGAAATTGTGCCGAAGTTCTGTTGGGTTGACTAAATATAGAAATTTCAACCTAAAATGACTGCTGATGGAGACAAGTGCTTACCAATTTTTTTCAGTCATGGAGTTCATTGCCTTAATTAAGGTTTGATTGGTTCATCCTAGGATTGCCAGGAACTAGCTTACAGTCCTTTATTATTGCTGCTAAATGATAATAGTTGCCTTGATTAATAGGAAAAATGTTTGTTTTTGTTTTAAATCTGGTTTGCATGTATTCTGACTTAGCATTGATATATGGAATTAAGTTGAATGACTGATGTACAAAAATGATAATACCTGTTCTGTTTTGAGTTGGTTAACTGAACATTTGGTAATTAGGTTCAACCATTGGTGCACTGGTATTAAAATATACTCCGTAGATGTATTCACTTTTGCTGTTGCACTGAACATTCAAAGAGTTTGTAAATGCATGTTTGGATATCTGCTACTATTTTTATCATTTGGCTAGTTATAAGTCTGTACTCTTCCTTACAATATGCTTATATTTTCTGCAGTTGGAGTACCTTGAGGAGCGCCGCCTCAAGGATCTGATCAAGAAGCACTCAGAGTTCATCAGCTACCCAATCTCTCTCTGGATTGAGAAGACCACTGAGAAGGAAATTTCTGATGATGAAGATGAGGAAGATAAGAAGGATGAGGAGGGCAAGGTTGAGGATGTTGATGAGGAGAAGGAAGAAAAGGAGAAGAAAAGAAGAAGATCAAGGAGGTTTCTCATGAGTGGCAGTTGGTCAACAAGCAGAAGCCAATCTGGATGAGGAAGCCTGAGGAGATCACCAAGGAAGAGTATGCTGCTTTCTATAAGAGCTTGACCAACGACTGGGAGGAGCATCTTGCCGTGAAGCACTTCTCTGTTGAGGGTCAGCTTGAGTTCAAGGCTGTCCTCTTTGTGCCTAAGAGGGCCCCCTTTGACCTCTTTGACACCAGAAAGAAGCAGAACAACATCAAGCTCTATGTGCGCCGTGTCTTCATCATGGACAACTGCGAGGAGCTGATCCCAGAGTGGCTGAGCTTTGTCAAGGGCATTGTTGACTCTGAGGATCTTCCCCTCAACATCTCCCGTGAGACCCTCCAGCAGAACAAGATCCTCAAGGTCATCAGGAAGAACCTTGTCAAGAAGTGCGTTGAGCTGTTCTTTGAGATTGCTGAGAACAAGGAGGACTACAACAAGTTCTATGAGGCCTTCTCCAAGAACCTCAAGCTTGGCATCCATGAGGACTCCACCAACAGGACCAAGATTGCTGAGCTCCTGAGGTACCACTCCACCAAGAGCGGAGATGAGCTGACCAGCCTGAAGGACTACGTGACCAGGATGAAGGAGGGCCAGAATGACATCTACTACATCACTGGTGAGAGCAAGAAGGCTGTGGAGAACTCTCCGTTCCTTGAGAAGCTGAAGAAGAAGGGGTATGAAGTCCTGTACATGGTGGATGCCATTGATGAGTATGCTATTGGCCAGCTGAAGGAGTTTGAGGGCAAGAAGCTCGTCTCTGCCACCAAGGAGGGCCTGAAGCTTGATGAGAGCGAGGATGAGAAGAAGAAACAGGAGGAGCTCAAGGAGAAGTTCGAGGGCCTCTGCAAGGTCATCAAGGAGGTGCTGGGCGACAAGGTGGAGAAGGTGGTGGTCTCTGACCGCGTGGTGGACTCCCCCTGCTGCCTCGTCACGGGTGAGTACGGCTGGACTGCTAACATGGAGAGGATCATGAAGGCCCAGGCGCTCAGGGACTCCAGCATGTCTGGATACATGTCCTCCAAGAAGACGATGGAGATCAACCCGGAGAACGCCATCATGGAGGAGCTGCGCAAACGTGCGGAGGCCGACAAGAATGACAAGTCTGTCAAGGACCTTGTCATGCTGCTGTTTGAGACGTCGCTGCTCACCTCTGGCTTCAGCCTCGACGACCCCAACACCTTCGGCAGCCGCATCCACCGCATGCTCAAGCTGGGCCTGAGCATCGATGAGGACGAGGCCCCTGAGGCTGACACTGACATGCCCCCTCTGGAGGACGACGCTGGCGAGAGCAAGATGGAGGAGGTCGACTAAAGCCTTACCCTGAGTCCTGGCCGAAGAGCGAGTTAGCTTAGCTTGTCTGGTTATCGTGTCTGAACATCTCGAGTTATCGCATTATTTTGTGTGGTTTACTTTTACTAGCCTGCAATCTATGGGGCTGGATGCGTGTGTTATCGAACTTAGTACGTTAATGTCGGTATAATAGTGCTGCTATTAATTTTTTTTTTTTTGTTTTGCTTGCTCGGTTTTTCATCTGCTAGCTGCTCATCGCAGGTAAAAGCTTTCTTAGTACACTCATTCACATGTGAACTGGAACGCATCGTCAAATTCCTCTGCTCCTGGATCCATGTCATGAATTGGCCCAAAGTATGTGCGGAGGAAATGCCCCTCTTAAAGGATGCAGTAATTTTAGGAAGTTAAAAGAGATAGCTTCTTAGTAAATGCACTCAAATAGACATCAGAGGTAGTTTCTTAGTAACTGCACTCAAAATATTAGACAACAGAGATTGCTTCTTAGTAAATGCACTCAAATCAACCTGTATATACTTATCTAAACTGCAAGTGTAACGAGTATACTCTTGCCTTTTTGCAGTGTCCATTTGTCATTAGACAGTTCTGAAACTAGTTAGAACTGTTCGCTAAAAGGATTTCTAGTACCAACAGCTTACTAGCTCCATATTTGCTGGTAAATAATATGTAATCAAATCTACCATGCTAAAGCCTCTGTAAGAACTCAAAAAGTCAAACCTATCCTATTGCATTGAGCTGGATGCTCCACCTGATATTGTGAGGTTTACTTGTATACAGATACTTAGGCGATGTCCAAGGATATCTAAAATGTAGCAATCTCACAGGAATTGTGTACAATTTTCATGAAATAGTTAAATCACTGGATCCCAGACATGGCATATTTGATGTTCGAGGCGTAAAAAGATTCGCCAACTGCTTGCCCAAAATGAACGTTGCCAGAAATTTGGAGGGAAAGTTTGACTCGCAGCAATTAGCCCTCAGTAAAGATGCAGTAATTTTCTGTGAGATAAACAGGGACGTTTTTTTTTTTGAAAAAATAAATTTAGTAGTCTTTCACCCCAAATTGAAGGTAACCCAGTGTTCTATTCAGAGAAAAGGGGGATAAACTGAGGGTTCGCCAAGATCATACTTAAGATTACGCAAACACATGTGGTCCAATTTCTTAAAACTTGTAAGCACCATCTTAAGAAACACATGATGCTTTAGAGAAGCATCCTGAGGAGGCCATATATTTTTTGACGGGTAGCAAGCCATATATTTGAACTGGAAATGTGCCGGGCTCCTGATTAGACATAATAGATGGTAATATGTGGCCTGTTAGTCAAATCAGGAGAAATTTGAAAACATCATATCAAGACTTTAACTGTAATGTACTGTCTTGACTCTTGAGAGATGAGATTACTTGGAGAAGGTAGGACGGCCTGAATGAAATGCTGGAGATGAAAGCAATCATATTCCGTGAGGAAATCATAAGGACCCTTGCATATGTACCCTTGTGCAGTGGCATTTGTTATTATTGCCTTATTGGTCCATGGTTTTGTAAGAACTGAAACAGACATTGTTGAGGACAATACAGACAAATGAATAAAAATCAGTTCTGTGGTAGGAGAAAGACAAATCTTCTGCTTTTGTAGGATGTAGGACACGATGATTTCAGGCAGCTCTGAAACTAGAACTGCTTCTCTGAAACTAGAACTGCTTCGTTAACAACAATTTCTAGTCCCAACAACTTATTGGGGTGTATATACTCTTATGTGGTATGCGCTACAATTGCCGGTAAAGAATGTGATCCAATAAGATGTTCAAGCCTCTCCAACTGCAAGAACTCAAACTAAATATATTGAGCTGGATGATCCATCTAATTTCCTGATATTATACTTCTGCATAAAACCCCTTGCGTTTGGGGCATCAGCACATTTGCCAGCAGCGGCATAAATGTCAGATATCAGAACATGGCAGCCAAGCTGCTTTGTATTCTGTAATAGGCGCGAATGAGAAATCTGGGTGTGTGGTGGTGTGTGTTTGAAAGAGCCCACTCTTACCCCCTTTCTTTTTTCTTCTTAACCCATCGACACGCAGCTCTCCCGCGTGTTTGAGGAATAAAAGGGTTGCTTTGCATTGAGGTTGAGGATCCTGCTCCGTACTCTTTCAGCTACATCAAGTCTCTTGTGCACTCGACAGGCACCTAGTAGCGCAACCAGAAGCTTGACATCTGGGGCCATTGGCATGCCCCAGATCAGCTCCTCTGCCTCATCAAGCAGCCCTGCTCGGCCAAGTAAGTCAATCATGCAACCATAGTGCTTGAGCTCCGGCTGCACACCACAAGCAGATGACATGCTCTGAAAGAACTGCCGACCCTCATCAACCAGCCCAGCATGGGCACAAGCTGTCAGCACACTGACGAATGTTATGTCATCCGGCTTTTCTTCTGACATTTTCATCTGCTCAAACACATCAATGCATCGCCGAGCATCACCGTTTCCGGCCAGTCCAGTGATGAGTGCATTCCAGGCGGAGACATTCTTCTGGTCCAAGGAATGGAAAATTTTGGTAGCCATGTCTGTTCTCCCACACTTGGCATACATGTCTATGAGAGCAGCACCAAGATTGAACTCATTGTCGAGCACCATCTTGTGCTTATCAATGAAGACGTGAGCCCACCTCCCTTCCTCGAGAGCAGTCAAATGTGCGCATGCTGAGAGCACGCTCACCATGGTCACCTCATTAGGCCGGATATCGCCATGGCTCTGCATTGTCCTGAATAGCTCAAGGGTTTGCGCATATCGCCCAGCCTGTGCATACCCAGAAATCATGCACGTCCAAGAAACGACATCCTTCTCTGGCATCACATCAAACAACTCCCTCGCACCATCCATCTCTCCATTCATCACGTACCCCCGGATCATTGCGTTCCATGACACAAGGTTTCTGACCGGCATCTCGTCAAACATCTTCCTCGCCAACGGCAACAGCCCATGTCTTGCAAACTCTGTCACCATCAAGTTCCATGTGACGACGTTCCTCCCAATGGCTGGCATCCGATCAAACATCTCCCTCGCTACATCCAGTTCCCCAGCAGCCGCATAAGCTCCCACCATCGCGCTCCAGGATACGCCATTCCTATGAGGCATTTCGTCAAACACGCGCCTGGCATTCCCAATCTCCCCGCACTTCGCGTATCCAAAAACCACCGTGTTCCAGGACACCACGTCGGCGACTTCCGCGCACGACTCGAACACGCCCCGCATCGACGCCGTGTCGCGGAACGCGGCGTACATCGCGAGCAGAGAATTGACAACGAAGGTGTCGGCCAAGAACCCGCGCCGGGCAGCCTGGGCGTGCACCTGCGCGCCCGTGCGCTGGAAAGAGGGGAGCCGGGAAGCGGACTTCACCAGTGGAGGGAAGGTGAAGTGGTCGGGGAGGTATCCGGACCGGAGGAGGGAGGAGAATGCGGCGAAGGAGAGTCGCGGGGAGGGGGACGCGGCGGAGGCGCGGATGAGCAGGTTGTGGAGGAAGGTGGCGGAGGAGGGGAAGAGCGGGAAGTAGAGGCTGGAGAGGGCGGCGGCGAGGTTGGGGTGCGAAGGAAGGTGGGGTATGATGCGGCGGAGGTGATCCGGGCTCCGGCGTATCTCGCCGCCGACGAGGAGGCGGCCGAGGAGCGGGAGGAGGCGAGGTGGCGCCGGCATTTCCCTTTTCGCCGAGGACGGGGAGTGTTGCGAATTTTTTTAAATAATATTTTTCACCAATAATTACAAATCTAGAAGCTGTTATACAAAATTATAGATATAGCATCATGTCGGCCATCGGAAAGCTGCCGACAGGTCCCATGTCGCACCTCAACAGACGATAGGGGTGGCGTGGCGGCCGACGGCCGCCTTTGCCGATCTTGATATTTAGACTTATCGGCATCCGGAAAGGCCGACAGGCCCTATCGGCTTTGGAGAGGTCTGTCTCCGGCACTCACTTATACTATTTCATGCTTTATGACCCGATATGAGCTCTTTTCCAAACAAAACCATCACCCAACAGAAAACTAACTTTATCATTGCAGCACTAAAAATATTTGCTCTCCTTTTCCAGGCATATAAACATATGCACCATAACCTAAGGAACCTTACAAAATTTTAAAGGCAAACTCATTCTAATATTAAACCAGCGCGGTACATGGACCAAACCTGTAATACTAAATTGCATGTGTGAAACTATATGTAGCTAAGGTAAGTAGTCTCACCACTAATCCTAACATGTCTTAGGGAAAGTAAACAAAACACGACTTGCAATGGCATGTGTGAAACTCTATACTTATAATGTTCAGAGGTCCACCACTAGTCCTAACATGCCTTAGGAAATTTAACTTGTTGAGTCTGTTACATTGTTCTACTGGGTGCAGCGTGGTTGTTTCCCTTTTCTGTCACACCCTGAAGATGGTTCCGCTGCATCCTTCTTGTTCTTCAGAGCTACCTCCTGGATTTTGAACTCTTGCTCCTGACGCTTGATGGCTGCTTCACGCATACTTAACTGCTCCCTCCTCCTAGCAAGGTCATCCTCCTTCCCCTTCAGACGGATTTGGTCGACCCTAACGCGGCGCTCTTGCTCCTCCCTAATTTTGTGGACCATCTCGCGCTCCTGAGTCATCTTCACGTAGTATTGGCCTTTGGTTTCCACCTCCTGTGGGAGATTTCCTGGTCATGCTGGAAACTTTTGATCCACCCATTGAACCCACTTACAAGGCTACATGTGTAGTGGTAGATGTGATGATTTAGGTTGACAAAAGATAACGAGAATTTAAAGGAAAATTTTGTTGTCGTTCTTACCATGAAGTCGTTATCCAGATCAGGGCACGTGAAGTACCTACAACCGTAGTGACTAACTTCAAACGACACGGACAGGATCGTCCTAAATTCGCAATGGCACTTTGGTCGCTCACGCCACTCCGGGAGTTGAGTTGGGTCGGTCCTACAGGACGACATTGTTTCTTAGTTGAATGGGGAGGGGGGGCGGAGAAGATGTGGTGTGGTGAACACATACTGAGGCCTTTTATACAACATGTTTGTGTGGTGTAGTGGACTTAGTCCATATTGATAACGATCATGTTGGGTTGTATGCTTTGGTCGAGTCTGAGAAAAAAAGAGAGCGTGCCAGCTTACATGCTTTGGTCGGGTGCAGGAAAAAGAGGAGACCGTGCAGGCGCACATGCGAGAGAGAAAAGGGGAGAAAGGGAGACTGCGCGAGAACGTACTGGCTCAGTGGAGCACTAGCAGACGAGCAAAGTGTGCTCTTTAGCAGCACCATCATTCGAGCAATCAAAGCGCAATGGTAGAACGTAGCATTTTCAGAGATTGGTAGAACGTAGCCTTTTTTGTCCTTTGCATAAAATATTATGTTCCACGAAATAAGTGATACAACATAGCCTTCTCATACTACGGATTCAAACAACAAGGTACATTGCAGGAATTACAAACACACAAACTACCGACTCTGCTTCTCCATCCTCTATCATGTTCTGAACTGTCTGAGGATCGGAAACATAGGTTTGCTCAGCATTTGCGGCCTCTAAGTTGTCCTCTACTACACCTGTGTTGCTACTCTCACCCTGCATGCCACCATCCAGAAATTCAACAAGCATGGTGTTGTAATAACGACGCTCCAATGCCTTCGACACGAGAAAATGCCACTTCTTCGTGTTACTGGCCTCATACAGCTCCCACCTCCATCCATTGGCCCCGTTCGCTGGTCTGAACTTTGGCTGAAACTGGCTGAAAAACACTGTTCCGGCTAAATTGTTGTGAGAGAAAAACACTGTTCCGGCTAAAAAAACAAGCCGAACAAGCCAAACTTTAAGACAAGCGAACGGGGCCATTATCCCTCAATTTAGGCACAAACATACTAATCCTGAAACGATGCTGGGAGGGCGGAACACCCAAATATTCATGCAGCTAGGCTAAAACTTATTTGCGGCTATAATCTAGCGGTGAATTCAGTTCTGTGTCAAAGACCTGGAACTCACTAAGGTCTACCCCGCTGTCCGCATATCTGATTTCATCATCGTCATGGTAAATTCTGAAAGGAACTAAATTGGTTGACATTTCTGGTCGCATCGTGCAAAATATCGTGTCAGTTATATGAAGTACCATGCGAACTAAATAAAATAAACTAAAACAAAACTAACCCTAAGTAAATCGAACCCTACAGCCTCACTAAAAATAACTAACGATAGCTAAAACTAACCCTAAAAATCTAACTAAATATACTAATTAATCTAACATAATGTACGACTACAAACTAAATATACTAATTAATCTAACCCTAAAAAATTAATTAATCTAACCCTAAAAAAACTAACCCTAATGTATGACTACAAACTAAATATACTAATTAATCTAACCCTAACCATATCTAACTAAACAAACTAAACTAACAAATTCTAAATAAACTAACTAAAAAACTGAAATCTAAATTTACAAAAAAAACCTTACCTGCATAGCGCCGGGCGAGCAGGCGGCGCTTGGGCAGGGTGGGGGCGGCGGTGGCACGCCCTCCGCCGGATTCGGCACCGGCTGGCGCAGGGAGGCCGCCCGCGCGGCAAGGCGGGCGAGCAGTGGCGGCCGACGGCAACGCGGTGAGAGAGAGAGAGAGAGAGCGCGAGCGAGAGGGGAGGAGGAAGACGCGAAGACGTCGGCTAGATATTTTAGGACCTATCGGCCAGCGGAGAGCTGATAGGACCTTATCGGTCCCCGTGCGGCCGATAGGCCTATTGACCCGATATGGCCCACTTTGTCGGCGCCCCAGAAGCCGATAGTCATCCAGTCGGGTATCCAGTGGCCGACAGGCTACTAGATTTGCAATTCTTTTTAATCAAATACTACATTTGCAATTAATCATTAAAAATATTATGTTAAAAAAATTCGAGTGTTGTTGGTTCGAATACTTTGAAAGCTTATCTCGATCGGCATCGGACGGCTGAGATCGCGGTATAGATTATAAAGAATTCATACATTTTAAATTGAAGTGGCCAGACGAATTCATAGTTTTTAAAGAAGGTTTTTGAATGGGACTCAGAGAATCATTCAAAATAATTTTTAACTGATCGGTGAGACAGCGATCAATCAAATTCAAATTTTAATTTGATCAATCAAATCCAAAATTAATTTGAAGTTTACAGCTGAAAGCGACAGAAATACAAGAGAGGGATTTGCTTCTTCCTCTCATGTCTTCTCCTTCCTTCCTCCCTCCTCCCTCCTCCCTCTTCTTCCATAAAAATGGAGGCGCTCAAGGGGTACTCAATTGCGCAGGAGAAGATAGGGCAAAATCTGCTCTGCTAAAAAGGCACAACATAATTGTAGCAACAGAAGAAACAACGCAGCTCAGCATGGAACAATAATCCTGGATATCTATAATAGCAGGGCAAAAATCCTCCTGAAAATAGGAGCAAGATATAACTGATTTACATACTTCAACATTTCAACTATAAAAGTGTAAGCTACTTATCCCGTTTGACAATGGCAACAGACATATATTCTGCTGGGAGGGTTTGGTCTATCGATATTGCAGGAGGAAGGAAAAATAATTCATACTTATTTACTATGTTAGATGGATGCTAAATTCTGTCCCAACCCCAATTATGTTCACTTTTCAATGTTAAGCTGCTGACAAGCTTCAGTTCAGAGTTTGATTGCCTTAAGCTTTCATGCTGGCCATACCGTCCAGCACACCTGGTGGCACTGTATCTTCCGCCATAGTTGATCACTTGTGAGGCTTCCTCCTTGCGTAGGTGTAAGCAAATTGACGAGTCTCAAATCGGTTTCAGTAACAGGCTTGGCAGGAGGTGGCTCCAGCTTCGTGCCATCATGGTGCTTACGCATGGTTTCCAGCTGCTCTGAGACATTGTTTTGAGGTGGGTATATCCTTGTGCCAAGGCTCAACATCTCTGAGATACTTTCAGCATTTCTTAAACTGTGCATTGTGGAGTATCCATTCATTTGATGACCATCCCTGACTCTTGCATATGGATCAGGAGAACTTTGATGGACTATGATGTTTTGACCACCGAAGTTCTTCAGAAGGTCTTTCATGTGGGCGCATTCTCTGATGTCACATGCTTCACTGGAATATGCTAGACTATGGTTAGCTGCTGGTTGATAGAAGCCTCTTAACATCATGGAAGGGTAAACTGCACTGCGCTCCTCTGGAACTGTCATTTGGACTCCAAGTGGGATTTTGCCCATCAGTGCATAAGGTTCCAGTGTACCCTGCCATTGTAAGGGAGTACATTGTGAACTAGCAGATGTGCCATTGATTCTGTTGGTGTGAGAAGATGAATGCTCGGAAAAACCATGAACATCGTGTGCAAAAACAAGAGGTGGAGTGCAAAATCTGGAGCTCTGTGTTCCTGGCTGATCAGCTCGAACCAGTCCATGTCTATGATGTGTCCCTTCACTGCCATCAATAACAGAAGCACAACCAGTCCTTATTTTCAGCACACCTTTTGGTAGTTTACTACAATTTTGCCTGGGATCACTGAGAGAATGGAAGGTTTGACTTTCCAACGAGTTCATTTCTGCTGATTTGGCTACATGGGCTATTTCATTATGTCTGGTTGAACAATGAGTGCTTAATGGACCATCCCTAAGTTTGGCTCGTTTCATTGGTGATGAAACAGTGGCAATTTCATCCTTGATAGTAACTGGTGGAGTGGTACTGCTAAGACTAACACATGGGAAACGCTTCTCATAGACCCGGTTGCGCGAGATGGGAACCTTCTCTCCAAGACTAGCACTTGTATCAGAACTCCTCAGCAGATTGCTCATTGATGCAAACTTACCAACCATACCATCATGGTACCACTTGAGAAAATGATAATGTCTTCGTGTTTGAAGCATCATCAGTAACTCCCTTTGCCTGAGAAACTTGCGGAGAATAAAGCCCACCATTCAATCCAAGGAAAAAGCTTCTAAGTGGACTTCCAAAGAACATAGCGTCGCCACTGAACAGCTCTTTCATGGTTGTAACGAAGTCTTGTTGCTCCATGTCTGGGAGGTAGGCTGCTAGATGGAGTCTATCATCTTCCGTCAGGAGTGAATTCCATGTCTCCAAAGAAAGAACCTCTGTCAAGTCACCCAGATCATAAAGCTCATAGGGGATATTGCACATCTGACCTCTGGACGCTGCAAGCTCGCAGTCGACCTCTGCCTGTTCAGAGCCAAGAGATTCAGGGTCAGGAAAGCTCTGAAGAAGCAGTCTATCCTCTCGTGTGAGGTCCTCATCTCCACAACTGTAACCACTCTTCGCTGCAGGCTCAAGACTTGCTATCTTGACAATCCCCATTGGCCGAAAAGAGGTGGTCCAGTACTCCAATTGGATCAGATGTAGTCAAAGTAGAGGATAGCGAGCAGAGTTTTGACAATAGCACCACATTATCCAATAGAAGATTCCTGTGAGAGAACACATGAAAAACAAGGTCTTTGAGCACAGATATAGTCCAGCAACATATTTCACAGAATGACATGTAACATGTTATGGTCAGTGCCTACTAACAACTAATGCATTTCAGAACCAAAATTGAAAGCTGTTTAATACGGATCACACGGCAGCACTGCGATTTTATTTAGGAACATATGTAACCCATGGCAGTATTTCGTTTGTGAGCAAATTTCCCATTTTATTTAGTAACTGAGCTAAAATTATGCACATCCGGTTCAACTAGAGAGTGCCAATGTAGCATCACAACATCAACACAGTGTACGAGTAATAACATCAGGTTTAAGTGTAACAGAAGGCATTCTGATCTCCAATTACTTGAGGAAGGAACCAACCAACTGAAGCGGTATACAACTTTGCACCCATTCTATATTTCTATGATTTTTCACAATGAAACAAGAGTCGTCGAATTTGTGCAAGGCTAAAATTATGCAGAAACGGTTCCACTAGGGAGCGCCAATGTAGCATCACAACTACATCAATGCATTGGGTTTTAAGTTTTACCAAAATCTAGTCTGATCTCCTAAGCAGCCAACCAACTGACGCGGCACAACTTTGCACCCAATCCATGCGAATTTTTCACACCGAAACGAAACTCGCTGAATTTCTACTGCAGGCGTCCATACTCCATAAACCACGGGAATCAGAATCACCACAATCAGGCATGCCAATTCCGCAACGAGCAAAACCTAACAATCATCACGCGACGGAACCAGCAATCCGCCGCCGCCGAGGTGACGCCAATCGAAACCGCCCGCTGCCGCAGGCAGGCAGTTCCGGGCCCGGAAAAGCAAAAAGGCCCAGCGCGGCCGCCGGCTACCTCCCCGAACTGAAGCCTACTACCACTACCAGCAGCCGGATGAACGACCGACCGACCGATCGATCGATCGGTCACTCCACGGCGCGGGGATCGAGGACGGGCGGGGTGGGGGGAGGGTGCTCACCGTGCCGTGCGTGTACGCGCCGGGGATCGGATCGGGCCGGCGTCGAGGATGGATTGGGGAATGGAATGGGGGGCGGAGTGGGGAGGCGAGACGATGGGTGCGCTACTGCTACTGTACCGCCGCGCTGTTGCGGTGCAGTGCGTCTCTTTGGCAGCAAATTGCTTGCTTGCCCCTGCTGCTGCCATTCTGTCCGACTCCCGCGGCTTCTCCGCGAAACCCACGCGGGTGGGCGAAAGCGCGAGGATTTAGTGGTGCCACCTGCCGCCTGCCGTCCTCCAGGCTCCAGCTCCGCGCAGCAGCTAGCTACGTAGCGCCTAGCGCAGCGGCAGCCGCAGCTTTGCTTGCCGGCAAGTGCAGCAGCGGCTGGCGCCCTGCTGCTTTTCGTCTCTCTTCGGTTGCCTTCTCTTTCGTTGTCGGTGCCATTCCTTGCTCGCGCAGGATTCTTTGCGCCTACTAGTTGAGAAGCGGAGGAATCGCACTACGAGTAGCATATTTTCTTTCTCTTTTCTTGGTGATTTCCTTTCGAGTTTTTCCTTTCTTTAGAATCAAGCTGGCATTTTTATTTGGTCTGCTAGTAATTAAGCTAGCATTTGTTGTGCGAGTGGCTAACCTAGCATTGTTCTCTTCGGTTCGGTGTAGTACTAGTCAGTAAAGTACACAATGTTCATAGGTTAGAAAAACTTCGGCACAAAAGTTCTGACACCATAATATATCTTCCTGCGTTCATGACAAATCTAACAGGGCAAAATTTGACAATTTCAACCAAATCTAAGTCCTGTTCGTTTCGCTGAAATTTGGCTTATGCTGCTGCTTATGCTGATTTGTTGTGAGAGGAATATTGTTCCTTCGCTGAAAAGTATTGTTAAAGTAGTGCTGTCGCATGTTGGCGGTGTGCATTTTAAAGTGGCATTCTTAGGTAAAGTGAAGTTTATTGAAAAGATAATAGAATTGCAATGTATATTATAAATCAACTATTTGACCAAATCTAGCTAACACCATAATTTTCATAACAAAAACTTGGGTTCAAACCATAACAAAGCTGTGAAAACTGTAAATCTATATGTTCTTCATTCATGAAAAATCTAACAGCACAAAATTTTATAAGTTCAACGAAATAATGATCAAATTCTGCTTATATTGGTTGTGTGCATCTTAAAATAGCACTTATCGTTAGTAAATGAAGTTTATGGGGAAAATAATAGAATTGCAATGTATATTTATAAATCAACTATATGACGCAAATCTAGCTAATGCCATAATTTAAATTTACCTAACATAATAAAAAAATGATAAGAGACGGTCAAACTTAATAATTGCATTCCTCCTAAAACTGACACTTTATTGAAGCTGCAGCCAGCGATTACTAGTAGATCTACTATGTAGGAGTACCAACTTTGTCATGTTGATAGAACATGGAAGTTAGATGCAGGGTTGGTACTTGGTACAATGGCAATGGTGAATTTTGTTTCACTGCTCTAGATGATATGTCCCTTTCCTCTTTGTCTGGTTTACTCTTTCTCGCCTTTATGACTATTTTTACTTTTCCTTTGCTTATTTGGCTGGCTTTTGACAAGTGACAACGAAATGAGCTTTTGGACTTGAAATGTCAATGGAGTTGTACCGAACATTCAGTCAGGACAAACGCTCCTTGGCGCGACTAGCAAGTCATCAAGGCCGCCCTGTTCGCTCGAGCTTATCAGCCAGAATTAGTTCTACTTTTCAGCTATAGAAATAGTGTTTTTCTCTTACAACAAATCAACCCTACAAATCAGCCGCAGCAACAATAAGTCCTGCCGAACAGGGCCCAAGTCAGTAGTAGGTCATTCTCCCAAAAGTCTTTTTTGATGTAAATGTCCGGGAAATATCAACTCAAGTGAAAAAACGTGTAGGGGCCCATAATCCTTGTGCAGTACTCAAAATACAATTATGGCATTTCGAGAAAAATCAAATGCTTTTAAGTTTAACTAAATTTATAAAAAATATTAATATTTATGATACAAAATAAATATAATTAGATTAATTATGAAATATAATGTCATAATAAACTGATTTGAAGACACAAATGTGATTTTTTTTTTGTGAATATTGTCCACTGTAAATTTAGTTAAACTTTATCTACTTTAACAGACATGGATACCATAGTTGTTTTTTTAGATAGAGGAAATACTAAAAACAAGGCTAATAATATAGCTAAACTTTAGCCCACTCATAGAGCCATCACGTTCTTTCACCTCACAGTCTCTATCGATCAAGTGGTTGGAAAATGAAGAAGGGAGAAGAGAGAATGGCACGTGGATCCTCTTATATGAGATACAAAGAGAGAGAGAGAGAGAGAGAGAGAGAGAAGAACATGAATGGCATTTAAGGTCAAAGCCACGTTACTGGAATCACCTTATCAGATATGACACTGCATGTGACTGGTTTTATAGTTGAGGAAGTTAAATACATAAACCCTCATGGGTTAGGGGCCTTAGCTAGAACTTACTGTAAAAATCAAAGAACTTGGCACTGTGTCAAACAGGTCTTAAGCGTCCGTTTTCTCTTTCGATCAGAGGGGACACACAATATTACATTGGCAAAAAGGAACCGAAAAAGGCATACCGTGCTGCCACTGCCCAGCGGAATCCCTGCCACAACATATCCTGGTATCCGTGCACAAAGCAAGTCAACACAAAAAAGGTTTGAAAAAAAAGGTCCTCAGCACCTCACCACTTGTCATCAATTCTCATCACTTTTCCACAAAATATATGATCACCCCCAATTTAGCAGCTCACACTTTCTTTTCATCCACAATGACGCCAGAAGACTCCCAAAAAAATGTTTAAAAACTGAAACGTGAAGAAGAGCCACAAATGTTCGCTTGCTCATAAACGATCATAAATTTCCAGCCGGGAATAGTGTTTTTCTCTCACACCAAACCAGTCAGCAGTAAATAATCCATGATACGATACGGCCTCCCGAACAGGCTGAAGCTTTCAGATGCATGGCGACAGGTTAGTGACCTACTACTGTCGTCCATTGTGTGAAGTGAAGGAAAGGAAATGCAGAAAATTGCATGGAACCATGGAATGTATTCGTGCGTGGGGCCCACCATATATAGCAGATATGCAGTGTGACCTAACCTAAGACTGTCTCCAACCATCGGACCTAAAAACGAGACGCATAGGAGGGTTTGGGTACTGCACAGCGATGGGTCACGGACCTAAAAAAATGACATTTTCCAACCGCCGACGCAAACGAGAAAAGCTCCCGTCTGCGCCTGCGCCTTCTTCTTCGACGCGCCCCTCGCTAGCGCCTTCTTCTTCGACGCGGAGCCCGCCGTCGGCGAGCCCAGCCTGCACGCGCTCGACGCGTGCGCGCTCTGCGCCAAGCCGCTGGCCGGAGCCGCGCCACCGAGCGCCGCCATCCGCCCTCTCTTCCCCGCGCTCTCTCTCTGAATCCGCTCTGCCCTCGCACTGGAGCCGAGCGCAGCTAGCAGCCGAGGGCCCGCCGCGCCGAAGCCCCTTCCTCGGCCGGTGGCGCTACGGCGAGCGTGCCCCCTGGCGGCGGCCCTGGGCGAGCGCCCCCTCCCCTGACGCGGCGGCGCCCACCACCACGGGCGCAAGAGCGGACGCCAGACGAGTGCACACAGCGCCCGAGCGTGGGCGAGCGGGGTCGGCACGGGCGCGGCGGCGCTGCCGCCGTTGGCGAGCGGTGCCGACGCGAGCGAGCGGGGCCGGCGGCGCGGCCGGTGCGGGAGCGGGCCACCTCGGACGCGAGCGTTGCCGGGGCGAGCGAGCGCGGACGATTTGCGTAGCGAGCAGAGAGCGACGCATTTTTGCGTCTCGTTCGGTGCGGTAGGCAAAATGGGTCACGTGTTTGGGTCAGCCGTTGGATGTTATTTTCGGGTAGGCAAATCACTGT